CAACAAAACAGTAAAAAAAGAGAATTTAGAAAACTTAATATCAGAAAAAGAAAGTAGAAAGCCATTCCTAAGTTACTGTAAATACATTAGTAAAAAAATAGCAAATAAAAATAAGTAGACCAAGGGAATTGGCTACATACATGCTTATATGTATAGGGCACAATCTCCAAAACCAGGAATAATTATTTTAAGCATATATAATGTAAGTAGGATAAAAAATGTTACAAAAGTAGGAATAGATTTAAAATCAAATAAAAGTTTAAAAGGTGAAGGGTAGAGATTACAATCGAAACGAAGTAGATGTAAAAGTAAGATATAATAATTAGAGTAAGATAAGTAAGTTAATTGTGTAAGTAAAAAGTAGGTAAGAAAAATTGTAGTATAAAGGTGCAGGGTAGAATAAGAAAATGGAAATGTAATGAACTAGAAATCATTGTAAGATACCGAAGTTAAATGTATAAGACAAATAGCAAAAATTGTATGTAATAGAATAAAAGTAGATATTAGCAGAATATAGTTTGAAGTGAATGTAAAAGTAAAAAGTTATTAGTAAGCAATTTGAATGTAAAACAAATATACAATGGTATCTAAAGAGGAAAACGAGAACATTGTAATAAAATATGATGTAAATGAACAAGACAATTTCATACAAAAAAGAATACGCAAAGAAAAAATTGTCTTTGCTGAAACATGAAAAGAAAACAAGGTCCCTGATCCCACATGTCAGGGGAAAAAAAAAAAAAAAAAAAAAAAAAAAAAAAAAAAAAAAAAAAAAAAAAAAAAAAAAACCTAACCTAACCTAACCTAACCTAACCTAACCTAACCTAACCTAACCTAACCTAACATTAATTATAAATAGTAAAAATTGACTTTATTTATTTATTAGTGACTTTACAAATTTGTCATATATTATATTATAGTTATTGTTATTGTTGACGCATCCCCCGACATGTTTGGCATTCGTACCCCTGCTAAAAAACCATCAAAGGACGATGGGAAACACTCCCCGGAACAGAGGGCTGGACCCTCCCGAGCATCTCCCATCGAAAGCTCAAAGGAAATAACCAAAAAACCTGAGGTAGAGAAAGAGACAAAATTAAAAACCGTCAGGAGAAGCATAGGAGAATGGGAGGGAGACAGGACAGGTAAAAACACGATTCAAGGAGAAAGCAACACCAAAAAACAACCACTGGTAGCTAAACATCTGGCCCTAACTCAGGAGGAAAAAAGGCCGACTGAAATGGGAAAAAGTACCATTAGTACTATTACTTCGCCAGAAAAAGAAAAAGAGAAAGAAAATATCACTGATAGGATTGCAGAGGCGAAGGCCTGCCTGTGCAAGGCAAAACTGCACCTCGGCAATGCCAGAAACCTTAAAACCGACATAAAGAACGAAGTGACGCAAATGGTGGATAGGCTATATAATTTGGTAAAAGAAGCAGAAAAAGACAGGAAAAATAGAGATAAGAAAGAAAACACAGAGGAGAAAGGAAGAAAAATAGAAACAACAAAGGAACTGGCCGAAGAAAGACTAATAAATAAAATAGAAGAACACGGAAAATTACTGGAGAAAAACCTGAAAGAATTGGAACACCTAAAGGAAAACATAGTGGAATTCGGAAAAAATGGGGAAAAAGCAACGTATGCCAAGGTAGCCGCCGGTGTAAAAAACGGGGAAAACAGGGCGACATATGCCGTGGCTATTTCCTCCACGGAGGAAAATGAAACAGGAGACCAAATTCTGGAAAGAATTAGAAAGACAATAAACGCAAAGGAAGAGGGACTGAAAGTGGATAGGGTAAGAAAGGCGAAGGATAGAAAAATTATCATAGGATGTTGTAGTAAAGAAGAACTAAACAAAGTAAAAGACAAAATTTCCAAAGAAGGGACGCGACTAACAGTACAAGATATAGCCAACAAGGACCCACTAATAATAATCAGGGATATATTAGTATACAACTCGGACGACGATATAATGAGCGCTATTAAAAATCAAAATAGAGATCTCATGGACCAAGTGAGCGAGGAAGAAACCAGAATTAACATATTATTCCGAAAAAGAACCAGGAACCCGCTCACTTGCCATGTAGTAATAAGAGTATCACCTAAGTTATGGAAGGTCCTCATACAAAAAGGAATAGTACACGTGGATCTTCAAAGAGCTAGAGTAGCGGATCACTCCCCACTAGTGCAATGCTCAAAATGTTTGGGATATGGGCACACCCGCAAACTGTGCACAGAGAGTAGTGACGAGTGTAGCCACTGCGGGGGCCCGCACATGCGAGCAGAGTGCACACTGTGGTTCTCTGGAGGCGCCCCAACATGCAGGAACTGCCTAAAGGCGAAAAGTGACCGCGTAGACCACAACGCGTTTAGCGATGAATGCCCAGTAAGAAGGAAGTGGGATGCGCTGGCTAGAGCGTCCATAGCATACTGCTAAGGAGAGGCGATACAGAGTGGTCTGCGTCAGGTTTGCCGGGGCGGAGGTAAAAAGAATTACATAGCATACTGCTAAGCTCCTCTCTGGGGACACGGCCCTAGAAGTACAGAGACGGGCAAACGCAGTCTTGGCACATTGGTGACGCTGGTGACATTGGTGACACCGGTGACATTGGTGACGCTGGTGACATTGGTGACACTGGTGACATTGGTGACGCTGGTGACATTGGTGACACTGGTGACATTGGTGACGCTGGTGACACTGGTGACGCTGGTGACATTGGTGACGCCGGTCGCATTGGTGACACCGGTGACATTGGTTACGCTGGTGACGCTGGTGACATCGGTGACACTGGTGGCATTGGTTACGCTGGTGACATTGGTGACGCTGGTGACATCGGTGACACTGGTGACGCGAGGCCGCGCCGGCGGGGACAAGTCATCAATACCTACAATCCCTACCATCCACCCCCTCACAGCTATAAATAGCAAAGCACAAGGCAGGACTGACTCAGTATCTCGCAGTAAACAAACCACAGCGCATCTGCACTGCCCCGGTGACGGGTCCCCGGTGGCATCGGAAACGGGCGTTGACGGTTCATTGGCCCCAGTTGACAACCACCTCTGCAGTGTAACCTCAGTTGATACCTAGTAGTGACATAGTGCTTTTTTGTGCTTTCTGTGATACTTGCAGTACAAACCACTGCATATCCAAGTGCTCACTGTGCCCAACCTCCCGGTGCAGGCCAATTGCTTCAGGACATCCATCCTTCAGACTATCTAAACAGGTAAACAAACACCATTACCCCCCCCCCCCCCCCCCCCATATAGCCGAAGAACCGTCAACGGGCCGCCGTGGTCACCGGTGACTAGTCACCGGCGCCGACGGGGACTAATCAGCGTCAGGGAACATAACGCCCCAATTCACATTCATAGGGATATGACATTAACTTCTGAGTACACACATGCACAGCACAATGGAAAACAATGACAACACACCCACCAACCTTACTCAAAGCCCTTCAACCTCAATCAACACACACAACCCTACACACAACCTAACACCACTCACCACAGACATGGATTCAGCTACACGATTCAAAGAATCAATCTAATCCAGAACCCAGGCCATTTTGGCCAAAATTAGCGAGGGAAAAAGCCTCACCAAAGCAAATAAGGATCAAATTCTGCTACTCCTGGGAGAAATAAACAACTGCACTGAATCCTTCTGCAGTAACGTACATACTCAATCCAATTCCAATGAACTAAGCATCATAATCAAAGACACTATCCAAAATGAAATGACAAAAATACACAAATCAATGGAATCAATGAAACACGCACACACCCCATCTTACGCAAACATAACTGCCAATAAGGTAAATCCCCCCACTGTCCATAAACCACCCACTTACAAACCATCAATAATCGTCACCCCAAAAACACAAGTCACCAAACCATCTGAAACCCTACAACTCTGGAGAAAGAATATCACCTTTAAACAAGACAACTTCTCACCAGCAGGAGTTAAATTTGTCTCCAATAACAAAATTCGAGTGGAATTTGACAGTGTGGAGCACAGGGACATCACTCTCAACAAAATCACACCCACCTCCGAAATTACTGCTGAAATTTCTAAAAAACTGAAACCAATGGTCATCATTAAAGGTATTCCCATAGACACACCCCCTGAGGAACTAACTGACATCATAATTACTCAAAACGACTCAATCAAATCAAGCATAACCCATAATGATGACCTTTTGTTCAGATTCAAACGAAATAACAAGAACAAAAATCTATACAACGCCGTATACATGGTAACCCCTCCCCTGTGGAAATCCTTCACTCAAACCGGAAGAATCAATATAGATCACAACAGAGTACACGTTGAGGAGTATGTCCCTCTGCTCCAATGCTACAAATGCCTACAATTCGGACACACCATCAAGAACTGCACCAAGGACAATTCAGTCTGCTCACATTGCTCCTCCACAGAGCATGACTACCGTAGCTGCCCAGTCAAACAAGACCAAAACAGAATTTCATGTCACAATTGCAAACAACAAAAACAAAAACATAGCACTAACAACCTCACTACTAACCATAGCGCCACATCCAACTCATGCCCATGCCTACAACAAATGATAAACAAAATAAAATACCGCATCGATTATGGATAATACACCCAGAAATAGAACATTCAATCTAATCAAAAAACCATTAAAATGCATACAGGTTAATCTTGCTAGAGGTAAATATCCATCACACGAACTACATGTATATACCACACAACACGACACCGACATTATCTTTGTAAATGAACCATACACCGGAACCACCCACACCTTCAAGACCATCCCCGGATACAATGCATACCAATTCCCCACTAACCACCCAGTCAAAGCTGGAATAATGATCAAAGACAAGGTACTCAGTACAATAGGTGACACCCAAAACTCCAACTCCAACATCTGCATTGTCCAGATCAATAACAATTCGGGCCAAAAATTATACTTAATATCAGTCTACGTCGAACCCGGAGAAGACAAATACTCAACCATTAACAAACTTGAATACTTCTTAGACATAACTAACGGGGCCAATCACATCATATGCGGTGACTTCAACGGCTGGCATAAGATGTGGGGATCAAAACAAAACAACAGAAGGGGACTCACCATATCCGACCTTATAACCAACAAAAACCTAACATTATGCAACATCGGAACCACTCCCACATTTGAAACAATCACTCATCACAATCACAGAGAATCAATCATTGACCTCACACTCATCAGCAAAGCATCCAAAACAAATGTCAACCAATGGAAAGTTGACATCGACATATGCCCATCATCCGACCACAACGCCATAACATTCCTCATCTCACCCACTAACGTCAATTTAACCAAAACAAAAAAACTATCCACTTTTAAATACAACACAACACTAATAAAATGGGAACTAGTTGAACCCAAATTTGACCTTGAAATTAACAATAGACTCCCTATCAATCAACACATAGAAACCATGGACAAAACACAATTGGACGAATACATACACAACATCACCTACTCCATACAAAAAACCTGCGATAAACTCATCCCCCGAGCCACTGGACCTCCCAAACGAGCACCCTGGTGGAATGAACAATTAAGCTCACTAAAACGCACTGTTCTACAAATACACCATAAGATATGCAACATAAAACGCAGAGGAAACCACATCAACCCCGAAATACTATTACAGAAACTCAATGCACAAAACAAATACTCAGATGCCATTCGTACCGCTTCAACCAACAGCTTCAGAGAATTCTGTCAAAAACAAAAAAAAGAAGACGTATGGTCCATCACCAATCGCCTAATTAAAACGCGTCCCATCACCCAACCACCATCCACTCTATTACTTGAAGACGGTACATACACTAATAACACCCTCAGCACAGCTACTGCACTCATAAACAATTTCTTCCCCGACGACACCCCTGATCACACAAATTATCAAATCACTAGCCGAGCTATTATGCATAACCCAATTCACAATCCTAACGAGCCACCATTCACCACCTCAGAAATCATCGAAACTCTCAAAACAATAAATCATAAAAAAGCCCCTGGGCCCGATCACCTCACTGCGGACATATGCCTTCAATTTGCCAAAGCCTCCCCTAACATCATTACCCAAGTCCTAAATAGATGCCTCGCACTCGAATATTTCCCAAAATCTTGGAAAATCGCACAAGCCAAAATCATTCCCAAACCAAACAAATCCAACTATACAGACTTATCTAAATTCCGACCAATTGGACTAATCAACGTATTTGGCAAACTACTAGAAAAACTCATCATAAACAGACTCACTCACCACATGAACGTCACCAACACATATTTTAAATCACAATATGGATTCAAACTACAAACATCCACGGTAGACGCCATCCGCAACGCACTCAATACAATCAAAACCGCCAAAAACAACAAAGAACATGTCATTGCGGTATCACTGGACATCAAATCAGCATTTGACAACGCATGGTGGCCTGCCATATTCCTAAGATTACGTAAAATCAATTGTCCTAGTAACATATACAGAATACTTCTTAGCTACGTGGAGGACAGAGAGGTGTTCATCAACTTCTCAGACTGCACTGTCAATAAAAAGATGTCCAGAGGGTGCGTCCAAGGATCTGTCTGCGGACCCACTCTCTGGAACCTCATACTCGACGAATTACTCAATATAAATCTCCCTGACGGCTGCCATATACAGGCATACGCTGATGATGTTTTACTCATTTCTCACTCGAAAACCATACACAATCTTGAGCAAATTACTAATTCCGCGCTGGAAACCATAACCAGATGGGGAGAGACAGTAAAATTAATGTTTGGTCCCGATAAAACTCAAATTATATCATTTACTAATAAAGGCTCAAAAAGCTCCATCACTATAAGAAACACAAAATTAAAATTCTCAAACGACATAAAATATCTCGGAATAATCATAGACCACAAACTCAATTTCATTAAACACTCTGAATACACCATTGATAAATGCAAAAAACTATTCAACAAAATCACCACATACATAAGACCCACATGGGGAGTGCATCCAGAAAACATTAAAACTATATACTTACAAGTAATCGAACCGATTATATGCTATGCCTCCAGCATATGGTCTGGAGCCACAAAATATAAATCGGTAACCAAACGGCTCTTATCTCTACAGAGACTGTTCGCCATCAAAACAATCCATGGTTTTCGCACCATTAGCACCAACACAGCAATAACGATATCACAAATCCCACCCATTACCGCTAAAATAAAAGAAATCTCCGACATTGAAAACTCAAAATTCAATAAATACTCCACATTCCTCCCCGAAGACACCCCACTGGAAATGCCCACACCCCCCCAACAAACTGCTTCATCCATCATTAAGAATTAGTATCACCTTCCAAGAAATCTCAACGAATAACGAACTAAATCATATTAACATCATAAACAAACACCAATTTTACACCGACGGCAGCCGACATGACAACAAGGTGGGAGCGGCATTCGTTATAATCACCCCAAACGGAAAACGCACTACCCATAAATTTAAACTACATGACTGTTGCTCTATATTCCAGGCTGAGCTTCTGGCTATCAAAAAGGCAATAGACTGGATTATTACCAACAAACCCAATAACAGTATCATTCTATCAGACAGCAAATCCGGACTAACTGAACTAACAAACCCCAACAGCCACCACCCTATTGCCTCAGAAATACTTAAAAATCTAATAAACGCCCAAAAACATAACTTAGACATTAGCTTCATCTGGATAAAAGCACACATCGGCATCACTGGCAACGAACTTGCAGACACAGCCGCTAAATCAGCCGCCTTTATGCACAAGCAACCCGATTACAACCTCATCCCAATAAGCTACATAAAACACAAAAACAAAGAAATAACCTATTCTGAATTAATTAACATATACTCACTGCCACAAAACTGCATATACACCAAAACCCTATTCCCCAATATACAACAATTATACAAATTTATATCAATTATAAAACCCGACTTCGCTATCACACAACTCTTAACCAACCACGGATATCATAAGAAATACCTACACCGATTCAACATTACAATAGACGACATATGCCCCTGCGACAACCACACTCCACAATCCATTGACCATCTCATAAAAGACTGCTGTAGATTTAGCTCAACCCGTATCGAACACTCAATAGCCACCTCCACTGCTAACATAACCAATCCATACAATCTAAATGAAATTATTAAAAAAGAAGCAACTGCCATAACTTTCCACAACCATATTAAATACATTGTAAAAACCATCAAGCATTTTAACAAGACATAATAACCAACCCATTTTAAAAACTAATAACTTTCCTACATAACACACCTCATACATCTATACATACCCGCTCATCTAATTCAGCTACCCTCTTAATCACGCCATCTTTTATATTGTAAATCACCACTACCTTCAAATATCTATAGCACAACCATGGAAGATAACTGCTCAACACTCGAAGAAGCTAGAAACCAGTTAAGGAAAGCAAGGGAGGAAATCGACTCTCTCCGCAATACCAACGAAAAACTAACACATACTATATACAACCTGGTTGAAATTATGATTTCCAACGCAAGATCAGACAACTCCCTCATTAACAATCTCAGGGAATGCCCTCGGCAAATAACCACAAACCTCAGCCTCAACAACCAACCCGGCACGAGCATCCATGAGGCCCCAACTAGACTGCCAAGCCCCTCCGCAACCCCTAACAACTTAAGCTCGGAAGCCAGCACCTTTGATAGCAGCAACCTCGAGATTCCCGGTACCAACTCCGACTTAAACATCTCTGGGCACACAAAAAACGCGACAACCTGCACCTGCACTAGTACCACAACAGGAACCAACAGCAGTCCACGCAGCTCCGCTAACATCAGCAGACCTTCGTCTCACAGGGGTAAGGGGGGGGGGGGAATCAGTGTCTATTATGCGGCGCTTTCTACACCAGCCGCAATATATTAAGACATTTCAAATTGAAACATCCCAATTACATGAACGGACAATTTAATCCCTCCCACCAGTCTTACCCCCGTTATTTCTATTTCAAAACAATCGCTCCAAGACATCGGTGCCCTAGAGAACTCAGACCACCGGAACACCTGCTAGCTAATGTGGAGGGAATTAACCCAATATTTTCTTGGCAGACTACATAAGAATACTCATCAGAATCTCACCACTGAAGAATCATCGGACTCTTCTTAGCCCTCAATCATATAGCTGATTATAAATTTATATATATATGAAAAAAAAAAATATTATACGAATTAAAAACATATTTTCGAAATAATAATAAAAACTTGTGGTGTAAAAAAGTATACAAAACTATATTAAAGTAACATTGTGTAAAATATTCATAATAGAATAACTCAATACAAACATATATTATGTATAATAATATAATATATGATATAAAATATTGAGAAAATTTCTTATTTGGTTAATCTAATATACTGTTTTAAGAGAGCCATTTTTGATATTTTTGTACATAGTTCTATTGCAACGTTTGTTATCTTAAATTTGATACATTTGTAAACTTAACTGATTAATTTTCATATCTTATTAAAATAATTTGAGAAACTTATTATTATAAATACATATTTAAGAAATTCACAATACAACTTTTATTATCACTAATTGTGGCAACATCTGTTTGTCAAGATTTGTTTTATAATTAAATTTGGGATGAAGAAGACTTTGGTTATTTCGTGAGATGGTGGCAAGCGAGCTCGCGGTTCACCTGATGTTAAGTGATAATCGCCGCACGTGGACATTCGTAGGGTTACAGATGCGTCGCCACAATTTAATCGGGGCTCGCAATAGCCGAAGTTGTTGCGTGACCCTCCCCTATCACAGACAAAAATAAAAATCTTGTTTTATATTATGGCACTTTTTCGTGTAATAAACTTTTCACATTCCGAAAACAACACAGTTTGATTTTATAACAAGTATTTAAGTATAACAAAAATAAAGGCTTCAAAATTCGAACGCAACAATTCCACCATTGTTACAGTTTGAGATTCGGAGAGAAAGCGAGTTCGGGTCGGGCCCCCGGCGCGGGTTGGGGCTCGCGGGGCTCTCGGGGCTCGTGGGGCTCTCGGGGCTCGCCGGGCTCTCGGGGCTCGCCGGGCTCTCGGGGCTCGTGGGGCTCTCGGGGCTCGTGGGGCTCTCGGGGCCGGCGCCGCGGGCGGGGCAGCGCGCGCCGCAGCTTGCGGCCGAAGCAGGGGTCGTCCCAGCGCAGGTAGGTGTTGGCGTCGAGGAAGGCGCGCAGCTCGGGCTCGAGCAGCGGGCGCAGCGCGGCGGGCTCGTCCAGCAGCAGCAGCACGAGGCGCGGCCGGGAGTCGCGCTGCGCCCGCGCGTGCGCCTCGCGGAACTCCGCGCGCGCCCACGAGGAGGCGGCCCAGTGGCGCGACAGCACCAGCAGCGTGCGGCGCGAGGCGCGCACCGAGCGCGCGATCTGCTGCGGGATCCAGTCGCCGGGCGCCCAGTCGCGGTGGTGCAGGCAGAGGCGCCGCGGCCGCGGCCCGCGCTCCAGCGCCGGCGCCAGCCGCTCCGCCACGAACCGATGGTCGGGGTGCGCGAACGACACGAACGCGTCGAACTCCCACGCCTCCTCCTCCTCCCCCTCCTCCGTCTCCTCCGCCTCCTCCGCCTCGCTCGGCAGCCAGCGCGCGCACAGCCCGTGTTCCAGCAGGAAGCGCTTGATGCCACGCAGCGCCGCGCGCCGGCCGCGGTGCAGCGCCAGCGCGACGCCCAGCAGCACGAGCAGCGCTGCGCCCGCGGCGAGCGACGCTCGCAGCGGCCAGTGCGCGCCCTCTGCGCACAGCTCGCTCGCCCCCAACGCGGCGAGCCGTCGCCCGTCGGCGCAGCGCAGCCGCTCGAAGTCGTCCACCTGCGCGCGATGCGCCCGCAGCGCCGCCGTCAGCGCGCCGCCGCAGCGACAGGCCAGCGGGTTGCCGGCGAACAGCACGCGCCGCTCCGGCTCGGAAAACAATGCCGCCGCGGTCTCGGGGTCCACCTCCTCCACGAGGTTGTCGCTCAGATCCAGCAGCTGCGATGGCAACGTCGTTACCACGTTTCGTACACAAGAGACTACACCGAGACACGCATAGATACACACCCGCAGCTCGGGCGCGATGTCGCCTGCGCCGAGCGCGGCGATGGAGTTGTTGCGCAGCAGCAGCAGCGCGGGCGCGGCGCGGGACGGCGGCGGGCGCGCCAGGCGCTGGCCCTCGC